GTATAAATGCATTTTTTGTCTCTCTGTTCTTTCAGTTGAACTGAAGTTGAAGTTTTGGTTACTTGTTTCAGAGAGTGATCTCTCCTGTTTAAAAAAACCAAACATAAAAAGTTGTGGTTTTTTAGAAGTGGAGAGAATTAAACACTTTCCAAAAAATACATAGCAAAATGTTACAGTTCAGTCTTAGGAAAGATAACTGCAAAACTAATAAAAGAAGAAATGTGACTTTATGCAGGATCTGACTAAGAATTTATGATATGGACCACTGAACTCATCTTTTGTCATTTATCTTTGTAAACCTGTGAGATTTCTTGGAAGATAGTTAGTCAAATGAGGAGCTGAGATGAATCAGTGGATATAATTTATTTAGACTTTAAAAAGGCTTTTGATGATAAAGTCCTTAGCAAAAGGCTATTAAGGAAAGTTAGTAACCATATGGTGAAAGATAAAGTCCTGCCATGGATTAAAAAGTGGTTAAGAGATAAGATAAAAAGACTGGAAATAAATGGATAATTCTCCCTGGAAAGAGGTTAATAGCAAGGTGCCCCTTCATTACTGCGACGAGCAATCGATATCCTGGTTCACCTGCTTTTGCAGATCATTAATAGTAAGGTACATAGTTTGCAGATGAAAATATTCATACTCAAGAGTACTGCAGAAAATGTCACTAGGGCTGAAGTTAAAACGCACCAGGGGAAACTCAAGGGTAGATGGAATTCGCCAAAGGTAGGAAATGCAAAGCAAGGCCTCTTGCAAGGAAGGGTTCAAATTACTTCTAGGCGCTGATATGTTCCCAAAGCCCTGCAGTGTCCACGGAGAGCTCAGGGAAGGCAACCGCTAATGTGCTTTGTGAAGAAGGGAGGACAGATACAGCGGGTGGTGCTCCCAGGAACAAAGCAGCTTAAGGCACCAAGTAACTTCAGACTGGCAGAGCCCACGGAGGTCTGCGAGGAACAGTTTTGCATGGACAGAGAGATGGGACAAGCTGAGCAGAGATCTCATCAAGAATTTTTGGACTGTTGGGATTTACCAGAAAATGTGGATACGTCAAGACAGAAATTTAATATGGAAACGTACCAGGATTGAACTTCTGTGGGAAAGGTTTCTGAAAGACAGAATGGAATGGAGAATTAAAGAGGGATTTTTTTTTTTTTTGTCAGAATGAAAGTGTGTGTTCAAGACACATTACCACAGTTCAATCATTCAATAGGTCAATACCTAGACAGCATCTTGGATCAAATCCTTGCTCTGTCTGACATCATGAGCATTCTTGAAGCAAAGACATGAATCCTGCTTTTCCTCCATGAGTGTCCTGCCCATTGGACTATCAAGTTGGTACCTCTCAGGCCTCATAAATACTTACAAGTGAATTATCCAACAGGAGAGAACATGAGACTCTTTCCAAGGACTGCCAAGGGTGGACACCACCCAAAATTGGGGCCTATCTGCCATGAGTAAGTAGGGATCCATCTGCAAGTGTCTGCTCCATTTGCTTCAGAGCAGGGATACGAATCTGGCTGCTCTCAGCTCAGGCAAGAGCTCTGATTATTACCTTCTGGTTTTGGTGTGCAAATAAATATATGCATCTTTTGTATCGGAATACTTGAAATCACAGACGTTCAAAGATAAGCAAAGCACTAATTGCATAGCTCTTGTCTTTCGGTGTATCATCTGACGTTACAGACTGGACAAAGAAGAAAATTTCCCCCTAGCCAGCAACAGAGTATTGTACAGCTTGATGCACTAAACCAGTTTATATTTTCCCTAAAGAGTCAGTCTTTCCCTAAAAATTCAGCATAGTAAGAGGTGACTGCTACAACAGTTACCTGTGCAGCAGTAGAGCAGCTACCCGCTGTCGGTGTCCAGGTATTGCCAGGCTCAGCCTGGCAGTTCCTGTATGTTCAGTGCTCCTGAATGAACATGGGAAGAGCAGCTGTACTGGAGTGGGCAAAGGCTGGGGCCTGGATATGCCTAAGACTACAATTGTTTCTTGATCCCTCATGCAAAACCTGGGTAAATTGGGTTTGTGCTGAAAACCATAAAGGTTTGGGAGGAAAGAGAGAATCCTATATTCAGGCTGTTAATTGAAAGAAGTGCATAAATAGTCTGCAATTGCTATATGGGTTGATTGATGATAATACTAACCACAAAGTATGAAGCACAGTAGAAGAGAATTCAAACTGTAGATTCCAACAGTAAATCTAAACACAGTATATACCCTAAGGCTTCATTTGTGCTGATACAGAGGGATGTGCCTAGTGTCAGCATCAGATGCTGAGGTGTTCCACAAAGGGGAAAAGTACCTGTTCTATCTGTCTGCGCTACACAGATATCTCTCATCCTCTGTGCCCCATGTTTTGTAACTGGAAGGCTAGCTGATTTCTTCAGTTATCAGTCACTGAATCTGACTTCAGAAGGCATCAAGTAGTGATTTCATTCGGGAAAAGACAGATGGGAAATAGCATGTATTCACCACTTTCCTGAGTTTGGCCAAAGCTTGCCCTCAGTTCAAAAAATTACAAAGATTCTGCATATTATTCCAAATAAAATAATTTCCTGCCTCCTATCTTAATAATGTCAGTCTAGAATTTTATCTGGAAAACACGTGCTGGAAATTTTGATGAAAAGAATGTGCAATAGTGCTCTGCAGCATTCGTTTCTGGGCAATGCCAAGAAAGCACAATGGGAGCAAAAATACCAAAACTTAGTAACAACACACTTCAAACCCAAATGCTTCTATGAGAATTTGAAATGTATTTGTTAGTTCTTGTCTGCCCAGAAGCACTTTGACTACACTTAATACAAACTGCTATACACAGGTTTTTGTGGCAGTGGTGGGTGGTTTACCTGGTCTGTGTTTAGCAGCTGACACGGTTTTAGCCTGTGGTGTAAGAGTAGAGACAAACCTTTTTATACAGGACAAAAAAATCCAGGTGTCAGCCAATCCATGGGCTATTCCTACTGAAACATTTCTGTATCTCTTCACTGCCACAGTGCTGTACCTTCACCCTTTTAGAGCACCTCTTTATACAAAGCTCTCAAAACCACAATTCTTCAACCTTTCCCTATGCTAAAGTTCTTCAACTCTTTCTCAGACTTAAATCAATTGGCAAGCAAGAAACAAAACTCAGAAGATCCAGCCCAATTAGCATCCCCAACACGATGCAAGCTGAGAATGTGCCTTCAGTTACCTGATGCACGACAGAGCTGGGACAGGGCAGAACCGTAGGGTCCTCATTTTATACCAAGGGGTCTTGTAAAGTCAGCATGACTTCCTAAAGCCATTACGAAAATACTTTGTAAAGCAGACTTGATGACGCCGTAAGAAAGGAAGGACAGCCACCTCCTGCAGAAACACCTTCAGCCCCTCAAACAGAGCTGCAAAGGCTCAATCCATTGGCTGATCCATGTCAGGTACCTGGGAGATGCTCAAGTCTCAGGAGGGAGAATGGAGTTCTGTAAGAGCATGAAAGAGGGAGGCATCACCCAAGGGGAGAACCCTCTGATCACCTTCAGAAGTGATCAGGTTCTCAGAGCCATCAACTCAGGGCGTGTTCCTGTACAAACCATGCTAACAACGTGTTCTTACTGGACATGGTGCTACAGCTTATCTCACACATCGGGCATTTCTGGAGCAGCCTATTCTGGGAGAGTTTCTGGCATAAAGTTGACATTTGTAGAAGCATGACTTGTTGCCCAGGAGAGGGCTGGACCCCCGTCCTGCCTACCTACGGGCTCCCTTCCGTGCGGAGCGTGGCACTGCCAGCACTCTCCTGAGAGCTCTGAGCGAGGCCGGCTCTGCCAGGGGCTGCGCGTGACCTGACTCCATGCAGGACTGGGAGACCCCTCCCTGTCCTGCAGATGCAGTCACCCCACAAATGTTAATGTGAAGAAGTAGAGAATGAAAGAGCCATTACAACGAAAGGAGACATAATCTTGCATGTAGCAGCTTTAGTACTTGCCAGCCGTACAGAAAAACTTAACCCCCTGTGCTTGAACACTCATCTTCACGTCTGCTTCACATCCTATTCACCGATTCTTATTACACATGTCTAAACCACTTCATTTTTCACAGAGACCATGCCAAGGTATTAAAAAGCTAGGAAAAATATTTCTAATGGCTGTTTTTTTAAAGAAGCACAGGCTGACTCCCAATACTGAAGTCACAATAGATACCCCTGCACATCTTACATAAAAACATGACATCATGTAATTTTCATCACTAAATATATTTTTTCTGACCAATGAAAAACCACACTGCCCCTGTGTGCTCCATCAGGTGCACAGATTGGAAGGACTTAACACACAGTTTTCTCCTCACTTCACTAAACCTACCAGAGGAATAGTTCACAGGTTTCAATAATTCTGCTAAATATTCCAACACATGAAAATTACATGAGTATTATTTATTTTATCTGTGTTCCTGGCAGCAGCGTTCATAGGAAATCCAAGGATAATGTAGTGTTTTAAAGATTAATGAATAATAAATACACTTTCTTCCCAGTACATATTACAAAGCTTTAATAAATTTTGTTCAGGAATCTTTAATGTGTTCTATCCTAACAGAACTGTCCATTTCTCAATTTTAAAACCCCAGAAGTGAGATTTAATTGGCAAAACATATTTTAAAATTACTTCACTTAGTTTAAATGTTCATGGGTACCTCTCTTTTTCATAAAGAATTAACTCCCAAATGGTTAGGATTTTATACTCAGAAGCAACTGTAATAAAGAGTTCCAGAATCCTGTGTCCTGGTTCTGTATTTAAAATTCTTATCTAACAAGCAGGAGAGAGGCTTCTAGGAATGCTTACAGATGTCTGATTTTACAAGGTTTGGGGTTGTTGGATTTTTTTTTTTTTTTCTAAAGTGCTTTAGTCTAATGTTATTTATTGTTTATGGAAGTTGTTTGTCATTTAAGACATGAAGTGACCACTCCCCCAAAAGAAGGAATCAAGTTACAATCCATTATTTCATTTTTGATTGTTTTTCTTTGTAATAGGTGGGAAAGTGGATCCTGGATAAAAGTCTTGCCCAAGACAAGACTCCAAGCTGAAGACTCCAGTTATCTATAAATCACTTGTATTTCCTGCAGAGAAAGAGAAAAAGGAGGGAAGAGCGAGACAGAAAAACAGAGACAGAGGATATGCCAAGAGAAATACTCAATACCTGTCCTAAACCAAATTTCTCTCATAAGTAACTAGGAGTTACCTGATATCTCAGAATGAAGCTTAGAGGAAACGTGTTGCCATTGGTTTTGGCTTAATATTAAAATAAAACAACTTTCTTGTTAAACTAGTATAAAATGTGTCACGTCTTACATATTTCTGAAACGATGGCACTATGTATTCTGTATTGTTAAGTGCTACTATCCAGCTTCTCACAGATAGGAAGATGTGATTGCTGATGACTGTTATCTTTTTCAAAGATTTTTAGAACCAATTATCTAGTTTCAGAACAGAGAAACACAAGAACACTTACGCAAACTGACTGTAATACTACTTTCAAGTATTATCCACAGAACGCCCCAGAAGCATATTTTACACTGAAACCAGCAATAAACAAAATTCATGCCAAATACTATTTGCACAGCGTGACTGCTCCCAAACTGTAACACCACACAACATCAAATAAGTAAATTCCTTATTTATTTAAACTACTTTCAAAGAAATTATATGCAAGAAACCACATGCATATTTTAATTTGCATATTGCAGTTTGCATTGAAATGTAATGAAATCTAAAATAGTTGACTTTCCTCTGAAACATTCTTCTAGAACATGGAATTGCTGTAACAAATTAGAAGACAAATTAGTTTTGGCACCCACTTAAAAAAGAGAAAAGATGAAAAGCTTTTAAAGTGATGATATGGAGGAAAAAATTACACTGCATCAGCCAAAATGAGTTTCCTATCAGCTTTAAAGCTCCTGAAGTTGTATTTCCAGTAGATAAAAATGTTATCACCTTTTTCCAGCGCTGATGTGCTTATTTTCCTATTAAGTTACTGGGTAATTAGAAACAAAGTCTGACACATTGTGATCTCTTCATACAATACAACTGAAACTTCTCCAACAGAAATGAAAACATTCTTTAACTAAAGATCCTAAAGATGCAAAGATTCAAAATATATAAACGAATTTTAAAATTCAAATTGCCTTTACAAACAAATCACTGTTTTTAAAGCCCATTTTAACCGACAAAAATAACTTATTCATGTAATACGCCACAGAAAACCAGCAGATTTTTCTATATTGACCCAACGGGTTTGTTCTTAACCCTCTCTTTATGAAAATTAGTCTTAAAGGTTAGCAAGAAAAAATATGCCCTCTTGCACTATTGTTCAAGGGTGTATTCAAGTATCACGGAAGTTAATCGAGAGACCTGTTCCAGTGCTGTAACAACAACCTGGTAGTATTAAGAGTCCTCCAGGAATTGTAAAAGAGTCCCCTGGGCACACCCGGTAATTCAAGAAAGAAAACATCTTTATTTTCTGATTGGGATATACAGGTATGTATAGTAACTTCCTCCGAAGTACATCAAAAGCAAGTGAAATGTATTCAGGAATCACTGATTTTGTGCTGAAAATAAAACCCCAAGAGCTCTGTAGAAAATACCCTGCTTAAAGAGAAGTGGCAAAGCCAGTCCCAACAGATCTAATTTGCTTTTGTACTATCCTGTGGTTTTTCAGATGATTACAAGGTAAAAATCTGTTTCCTTTATTGCAGATTCAAGGCAGCCTTGTAGTAGTTTTTTATCTCTACGCTCAAGTTGGTTAGGGCAGAAAGAAACCGATTTAAGCAAAATCCCTCCTTTCGAGGGAAAGCCATGAATCTCCCTGCCAGAACAAACGAACACAACTTACCTTGGTGTATTTGATTTCAAGGTTGAGAGTGGGAGAAGGCAACAGATGCAGAGATGCCATCAGAGCTGCAGGATCTGCCTTCACCTCCCCTGGCATCTCAATTTTACTGGAAGTCATAGTCTGGGGGGGTTTTATAGTGCCCCCGCGCCCCCCGCTCTGCCCTGGTGCTGGCTCCCCCCGCAGCCCGGCGCGGGGATGCTGCTCCCGGCCGCTGTATATAGGCAGGTGTCAGCCCGGGGCCGCTCTTATTGGCCATGGGGCAGAGGCAGGGGGGCAGGTCCGTCCTACCTAGGGCGATAGCGGCTCAGCCCGACTCTTCAACCCCTCCAGGGATCCCGGGGACTCCCCCCTGCCCTGGGCAGCCCATTCCAACGCCCCTGTCT